CATCTCGTCAACCAGAAGGGTATTTTGGTAAATCCGGCCAAGATAGAGGTCATGATGCAGTGGAAGGTCCCGATATCTCCATCTAAGATTCAGAGCTTCCTAGGTTTGGTAGGATATTACAGGAGATTCATCCAGGAATTCTCCAAGATAGCAGTACTGCTCACCCGACTGACCAAGAAGTCGGTGGCATTTCGTTGGGGGCCTGAGCAGCAAGTGGCGTTTGAGACTCTCAGGCAGAGATTGTGCGAGGCACCGATTCTTACCCTGCCAGAAGGAGTAGAGGATTTTGTAGTATACTGTGGTGCCTCGATCATAGGTATGGGAGCAGTTTGATGCAACGAGGCCGTGTGATAGCCTATGCCTCGGGATAACTGAAGACTCACGAGGCTAACTATCCTACGCATGATTTGGAGTTGGGGGTAGTGGTGTTTACCCTCAAGATTTGGAGACATTACCTCTATGGGTTCCGATGTACCATTTACACGGATCACAAGAGCTTGAGGTACCTCATGGACCAGCCGAATCTGAACATGAGGTAGAGGCGATAGTTAGATGTGTTGAAGGATTATGATTGTAAGATCCTTTATCACCCAGGAAAGGCTAACGTGGTGGCTGACGCTCTGAGCCACAAGGCAGTAGTGGCCCCGATCAGAGACATATGTTTGAGGATGACGGTGATTACTCCATTATTGGAGCAAATCAAAGAGGCGCAAACCGAGGGCCTTAAGGAGGAGAGGCAGAAGTGTGAGAGGATTGTAGGCCGAGTAGCTTCTTTTGACTACGATAGCCGAGGATTGTTGACCCTTCATGGGAGGGTATGGGTACCGTACTAGGGCGGAGTGCGGCAGGTGTTGATGGACGAGGCCCATGAGTCTCGATTTTCCATCCATCCAGGGGAAACGAAGATGTATAGGGATCTTCGACCTGACTATTGGTGGCCCTGCATGAAGAGGGATGTCGCCTGGTATGTGGAAAGATGCCTGACCTGCAGGAAGGTTAAGGCGGAGCACCAAAGGCCTCACGGCAAGATGCAACCGTTGGACATACTAGTGTGGAAATGGGAGCATATCACTATGGATTTCATCACTAAGCTTCCCAGGACCACACGTGGAGTGGATTCGATTTGGGTTATAGTGGATCGGTTGACGAAGAGTGCCCATTTTATACCGATCCAGGAGAGCATATCGGCTGAGAAGCTAGCCGATATATATATGTATATGTGCGAGAGGTGGTGGCACGGCATGGAGTGTCTGTTTTAGTGGTGTCAGACCGAGATGTCCATTTTACTTCCAGATTCTGGAAGCGGTTTCACGACGAGATGGGTACTCGTCTCCATTTTAGCACCGCTTTTCATCCTCAGACGGACAGACAGAGCGAGAGAATGATTCAGACTCTTGAGGACATGCTGCGGGCATGTGTTCTAGACTTCGGTAGCAGTTGGGATACGTATCTTCCGTTAGCGTAATTTTCGTATAACAACAGTTACCATGCGAGTATTGATCGACCTCCTTTCGAGATGCTCTATGGGAGGAAGTGCAGGACCCCGATTTATTAGGGCGAGGTCGGTCATCGGGTCATTGGGAGCACCGAAGTGGTGCTCAAGACGACAGAGTTGATCCAGCAGGTTCGTACCAGTCTGCAGATTGCGTAGAGTCGGCAGAAGAGTTACGCTGATAGGAGGCGTTCAAACTTGGATTTCCAGGTGGGCGATATGGTCCTCCTGAAGGTATCACCCTGGAAGGGTGTTATCAGGTTTCGGAAGAGGGGCAAGCTGGGCCCTAGGTTCATCGGTCCTTTTAGGATTTTGGCCCAGGTGGGACGGGTTGCTTATCGGTTGGATCTTCCGACAGAGCTCAGTCAGATCCACAACACTTTCCATGTTTCTCTGTTGAGGAAGTGCTTGGTGGATGAGACAGCATTAGTACCCTTGGAGGACATTCATGTTGATAACAACCTGAATTGTATTGAGAAACCCATAGCGATCATGGATTGGAAGACGAAAACCTTGAGGAACAAGGTGGTTCGGTTAGTAAAGGTACAGTGGCAGCACCGGAAGGGATCTGAGTGGACGTGGGAGACAGAGGAAGAAATGAGGGAACACTATCTAGAGTTGTTTGCAGATACAGCAGCAGCAGCAGACTTCGAGGACGAAGTCTGAGACAAGTGGGGGAGAATTGTAACGACCCCAGTTCTGGTATGTTATTTAATGGTTATTTTTCTAAGTATTCAAGAGGGACTCGACGAGTCTGTTGCTCGACTCGTCAAGTAGAGACGGGATTTCCAGCACGTGTAAGTGGGCGACTTGACGAGTCCATATCCTGGACTCGGCGAGTCCGCCAGCCTGGAAGACATCCTAGATCCACAGGTTTTGCACCTTATATAATCCCCCTTATGCACCCAATCTGACCTCCCTCACCCTCAGAACGTTTCATAGCCATACCCTAACCTATCTTGAGTGTTTTTGGGCATTTTGTGTAAGAAGTGAAGATTGGAAGAGAAGAGGAAGGCTAGATCCAAAGGAGAGGAAGGGGAACACGATCTTGCATCCATTTCAGAGTCATTTGAGGTATTAATCGGACCCTTTATGTTCTTTGGTTGTTTTTCTTCAAGAATCTCATTTAGGTTACCTTTTTGCCCATTTGTGAGCTTAATCTAGTATGGGAGCTTGTGTAAGTGTTATAGCTTTCAGATCTAATCATATTTCTATCCCAAAACCCAGATCTAATACCTTTATTGAACCTTGTTGCATATAAACCCTAGATCTAGCCTTATTCATGCATTTTAAGCCTATAAACCTCTTTAGGAGTGTATGTGCACATAAAAATGGAACCTTTACATGCAAACCAGGCCTTATGAGCCCAGATCTATCAGTTAGATGCATTGGTTTTGAGCAGAATCGTCTGAATAGTAATTGGATGCATGCGACTCGGCGAGTCTTTCTTTGGACTCGACGAGACGAGTCACGAGTCCAAGACAGTCTTCATACCTCTAGATCAGACTCGACAAGTTGTTCATACAACTCGGCGAGTCACATCCACAGTGTTCATACGTTGAAGAAGGACTCGAAGTTGTTCATACAACTCGGCGAGTCGGATGCAGATTGACTAGGTGATAACATAGAAGGGGAACTCATCGAGTCTATGCCAAACTCGACGAGTAGTAGCGATCAGAAGCAAAGAAGTGAGGGTGAGGACTCGACGAGTTGGTGACCTAACTCAACGAGTCAGGTCAACTGTATGTTGACTTTGACCAATAGGGTTAACTTTGACTAGGGGTAAAATAGTCATTTTACCCTCAATATAGTTATCAGTATTTGATTTAGTGTATTATGGAAATTGTAGCTGGGGAGATATCGGAGCAGCACCAGACAGTTTCCAGAGCCGTTCATTTACCAGCCAGTTTACGAGGTGAGTTTTCTTCCAGTAGGAACGGGTCTAAGGCCACAATGCCAACCCGTTTAGCTAGTAGTAGTTTCCGAACTTCGGTCCGATGTAGTTTTTAGTATGTTTGATGCCTTCGTGGCTCAGACAGGATTTAGGTGTTATGTGTTCTGGGCTACGGCCCGATGCAGTGTGCAGTTTATGTGTTCATGCTAGTTAATATGTTTATGCCTTTCTATGTTATACTAAGTTAGTTCCGGACTTCGGTCCGATGCAGTTAGTTCCGGACTTCGGTCCGATGCAGTCAGTTCCGAACTGTGATCCGATGCAGTTTCCGGACTTCTGTCCGATGCAGAGAGCAAGGCCCTGGTTAGTTCCGGACTTCGGTCCGATGCAGTGGGCAAGGCCCAATATGTGTTTATATGTTGTTGTATGGTATGTGGTAGTTTGGGGGAGCTCACTAAGCTTTGTGCTTACAGTTTCAGTTTTGGTTTCAGGTACCTCCGCAAGTAAAGGGAAGGGCTCGGGTTGATGGCATCGCACACACCACAGTTTCAGCTTTATTCCTGGGAGTTTTGTTTAGATACTTAGATATGATTTGATACAGTTTTTGATATGACATTTTATTATGGCTTTGAGATACCCGACGTATGGTTTTATTATATGACATTCAGTGTTATGACTTTTATCATTATTTAAAAACAAAATTTTTTTGGGTCGTATTTCTAGGATGTTTCAGAAACATCTTTACGCTTTCATGTTCATATGTATTCGTGATGTCATGTAAGGCTATGAGTACACACGTTTAGAATTAAGATAATAGATTAACTTCGTACGGGTGCGATATATACAAGTATTTCTTTATGATTTTTGTATTACACCGATCTTGTCACAATGATTATATCTATGTATATATAACAATGTTCTAACCTTTATGTTGCTCACTAAATCTTCAAGCCTAACTTTGTATTATTTACTATGCTTCACATGCTAATACTTTAGCGATATATGACAAATGTTGATTAAAGATGCTAGACGAGTCATTGAAGATGTTACACCTTTTATTTTCGGAATAACTGATCACATACTTTTACTCGTGGATCGTAATGGTCTTAGATGATGACACAACACCCTTTTGTTGGTTTATGTTTGCTATTGTACGAGCATGAACCAAGTATTTGGCACCTTTATGAGGTATTTTCCTAATCATGTTAGTACAATGCTATTTCCAAGATGTCCTTTTTACAAGGAATGTTCTATTACCATCCTTCTCAAGTAGAAAGAATATCTATTGTGCTACACTCATCTTGAAATCTGAATACTCCCATAGTTAAATTGAAGCATAATTATAAACATTCCAAAGTTATTTTCTATGTCGTACCTATTAGTTCAAGTGTTGGGTTTAAAGGTTGGTCTTGATGTTCTATGATAATGTCCTAGTTAGTTCCTTCATACTAAAGTAGTAAATTTTTTGTATTTTGTAATAGTTAAGGATGTTGCTATGATATATAGAGGACATGGCTACACTTGGCTCAAAAGTAAATAAAGAGTAGATGAGAAAAGGGCCAAACTTTTCATTGTGAGGAAAGCGACAAGGTCCCACCTTCCAAACCAAACTACAGAGTACAGACCTCTCTTTCTCTTTCTCTCTCCTTGCACTTTTTGCTCTTTTCGTGCTATTTTATTTTGGTGTTTTCTGTTGTCAGATATCTTCTTGCAAAACAACAGTACTCCAAACACCTACCTCACACACAACGAAGAGATATTAACAAGGAAAAGAAACTCTTGAAACCTCTCATCCCTAACCTTTTAGGGTTTTCAAAGTCGGCATCAGAACCTATCTGCTTTGATCTTTGCTTTCTGGGTTTACAATCTTGGTAAGCTTTATCTGGGTTTTGTTTGTTTTTGCTCTACCAAAATGGGTTTTTTCTGGGATTTCTTCTATCTATTCGTAATCCATGGATTCTGGGTTTGAGTTGCTGATTCGAACATCTGTTTCTTTCGAAAAAAAATCCATTTTTTTTGGGTGAATTTGAGTCTTTGTGGGTTTTTGTTATCTCCCCTGGTTTTATTTTGATGAACAGAGTTTTCTTGTTTCTTCAGATTACTGTTTGAATTCTAGATGCACAAAACCCTTTTCAGTCGTGTTTCTGGACTCTTTAAAATGATGTTAAATTCGAATCTTTTCAGAAACCATTTGTGTTGATAGATTGTTCTTGAATTCACACTTATCAATACCCAAGAACGCATACATAATCATTGAAGTATTTGCTATTTTAGTCAAATTACAAAGATTCCAAATCCCTAATCCAGTTTCTCATTTGTTTGACACAGATTGCTTCACCAGTTCAGTAAATCCGATAAAGATTTTCCAAAAATGGGATACGATTGCGATTACTGTCGCGAGGCAAGATCGATGGTGTATTGTCGATCAGACGAAGCTTACTTATGTCTATCGTGTGATCGAAATATTCATTCCGCAAACGCATTATCAAAACGCCATTCAAGAACACTCATATGCGATAGATGCAATTCAGAACCAGCATTCGTTAGATGCGTCGATGAAAAACTATCGCTTTGTCAAAAATGTAACTGGGAGGGTCACACCGGTTCTAATTCCGGTTCCGGTAGCCATTGTCGGCAAACGTTAAATTGCTACTCCGGCTGCCCATCGGCGGTTGAACTAGCTTCCATCTGGTCGTTCATGTCAGAGTCTCCATCTGTTCTCGGCTCCACTTGTCAACAGGAAATGGAGTTAATGTCCATCGCCGACGACAAAACCAATCAAGTTGTATCTTGTTCGATTGATCGAGACGATTTGCAGAAAGGAATCAACTCAAATTACAAAAACGATCCTGATCCTTGTTCTACATTCAAGGTAAATCGAATTGGGTTTTTTCAATTTCAACAGTTTTTGAATTCAAAATCGTAACTTGAATTCAAAATCGCAGATTTCATCTACAAATAATGCATTCTATGATGATTTCAACATGGATGAAACTGATTTAAGCATCGAGAAATATGAAGTACTGTTTGGCGATGGATACAACGACCCAGAACATCTATTCGCAAAAGATGGAATCGATAGCTTATTCGGAGCTAAAGAAACATCAGTCGCTGAATCCATGTCTCACAATTCACATGCTACAAAGGTAATTATATACTTGTAATTTCTTCTTTAAAAATTCTTTATTATGAATATTTCTCATACTTATATTTTTTTATCTTAAAGGGAGACGATGTTCATGTTCGACCCACATGCAGTAATGCAGCTTCATTTGAATCATTAAGAAGCCGCAAAACAGAACCAAACGTTTGTTATAAACCACATTCCACTATTTCATTTTCAAGCCTCACTGGAGAAAGCAATGCAGGTGATTATCAAGATTGTGGGACTTCATCTATGCTTCTCATGCATGAGCCACCCTGGTGCACCCTGGCTCACGATAACACCACCCCTTCAGGTATCAGAAACGATGCGGTTCTTCGTTACAAGGAAAAGAAGAAAACCCGAAAGTGAGTAAATGATCAAGTCTCATGAACATATTTTGAAATAGTTTTTTTTTATGGATTAAATGATTAATATTTGCTATCTTTTTTTTTTGGTTAGATTTGAGAAGACAGTGAGATATGCTACTCGAAAGGCAAGAGCGGATGTTAGAAAGCGCGTGAAAGGGCGATTTGTGAAAGCTGGTGATGCGTATGATTATGATCCCATGAGTCAAACAAGAAGCTATTGAGAATTTGAGACGATATATATATATATATATATATATATATATATATATATATATATATATATATATATATATATATATATATATATATATATATATATATATAAACACGTTTTTGATCATATATCTAAGGCCATGTTTGGAAAAAATAAGATAGCTTATTGTAATTTAGTGTATGGTAAAACAATAAAAGTAGTTTATTGTAGTTTATAGGAATAATGACTTCAGAGGGTAACATACTTTTGATTTTGATCACATTTGGTCACTGAACTTTTTTTCGTGCTCTATTAACCCTTTAACTTGTTGATTTGTGCAAATTTTCCCCTTCCGACCGGGTTTAGCTGGTTTCAAACGGTTTATTGATCCTACGTGTATTTTTTTATCTTACGTGGCGAAAGAGGTGGCATGTAGGGCCCGATTTTTCGTCTCCGTCTCATTAAACCACACCCCGAAGTCTCATTTGGTCCTTAAACTCGACTAGGTCACAAAATTCTCCATCGATCATTCATCTCCTTCAACCGTTCTATGGCATCATCTCCAAATCCTACTGATCAGAACTTCATTGTAGTGGATTTCCATTACAATGGTTAGTTTGCACCCAATCCCTTAGTTTACTTTGATCCCAACAGAGCATCAGTGCGAGATGTTGACTTCAGTGGGTTTGGGTATGAGCAATTCATGAAATTCCTTCACAAGCTCACCAAATCGAGAAGCAAAGACATCTATTTCTGCCTTCCACAAGAGTCTTTAGGTCTTGGAATTCATACACTGGTGAACAACGGTGATTACAAGGAATTTTTGGATTTGGCGTATGCTAATGACAAGAGAATGAATGTATATGTGGATCACCATAATGAACCTATCTTCGACTGGATTGAGGCTGAGGAAAGTGAAAGTGAAAACGAAGACTTAGATGAAGATGAGGATTCAGTTATTCAAGATTCATATTCTGTTGATCATGAAGAATATGATGCTACCTATCCATTTCCAGCAAACAAAACTGCACGTGATAGATTTTTAAACATCCTTTGTGAACCTATAGAGAGTGAAGATCAAGATGATGAATACGTGCCACCCCAGTACCCTGTGTATGATGAGAGACAGCCATGGGATCAGATGAAACCAATTATAGGTATGCGATTTTGTAACCCTACTGAGCTTAAACATATGTTAAGCAATTATGCAGTTGCTAATGGGTATGATCTATGGTTTGAAAAAAATGACTCTGATAGATTGTTAGTGAAATGTTGCAAAAAGAATAAGTCACCATCTTGCCCTTTCAGACTATGGGCCTCCTGGATGGGTAAAGAAAAGACTTTTCAGATCAAATTCTAGTGAATGAACATAATTGTTGTAGGGTGTTTAAGTTTGGGTCAATTGTAACTTATAGATGGATAGGGAAACATTTTATGAGTCAAATTATAGAGAACCCAAAAATGAGTGCAAGGAAGATGAAAGCTAAAGTGTCAACAACATTCAACATAAATGTGAGTGTGGGGCAATGCAGAAATGCAAAGAAATTTGCATTACAAGAGATTGAAGGAAGTTTAATTGAACATTATGGGAGATTGTGGTCATATGGTGAGGAAATTATCAGGTCAAATCCTGGGTCTACTGTGAGATTGGATGTAGACATCATGCCAGATTCCACAACTTTGTTTTCTAAGTTTTATGTGTGTTTCAAAGCTGTAAGGGATGGTTGGTTAGAAGGGTGCAGGCCAGTAATTGGGCTTGATGGTTGCTTTTTAAAGGGTATAGTTAGAGGAGAAGTTATTTCAGCTGTTGGGAGAGATGCAAACAACCACATCTACCCTTTAGCATGGGCTGTGGTATGTGTTGAGAATAAAGAAACATGGAAGTGGTTCATAGATTTGCTTATGGATGACATTAATGGTGGTCTTGGTGCAGGCATTACCCTTCTTTCTGATGGACACAAGGTTAGTACTAGGTCATTTTTATGCTTCATTTTTATGCTTTTTCACTCATAATGATGTTGTGATTTGTAGGGGTTATTACAAGCAGTTAAGGAAAAATGTCCAGAAGCTGAACATAGACAATGTGCTAGACACATTCTGGCCAATTTTAATAAAAGGTTTACTGGTCAACAATACATAAAGTTATTTTGGAGGGCTGTAAGGGCTAGTACTGTGGAGAAGTTCAGAGGTGTAATGGAGAACATCAAATCTATTGATACTCATGCTTATGATTACCTTATAGACAGAGATCCTACTACCTGGTCTAAGGCATTCTTTCAAGAAGGAAGAGACTGTGATGCAGTGGAGAATGGGGTCAGTGAGAGTTTCAATTCTGCTATTAGGCATGCTAGAAGGAGACCTATAATCACTATGCTGGAGGAGATTAGGTTATTTGTGATGGAAAGGATATACACTCAAAGAGTTGAAGGAATGGAATGGGATTTGCTTATATGTCCAACTATTAGGAAGCGTATAGAACATCTGAAGGTTAAACAGAGGTAATTATTTTACTTTAATATGCTTATGTTAATTATGAGGATGTGTTATTGATTCACTGATGTTAATATGCTTAAACAGATTGTGGGGAGTTACTCCTTGTGGTTATCAAAAGTATGAGGTTAGATTCACTGATGTTGCATATGGAGTGGATCTAATTGCAAAGAAGTGTGCCTGTAGAATATGGCAACTTACAGGGATACCATGCTTACATGGAGTGGCAGCAATATCTTACTTAAATCATGATGCTGAGGCATATGTGTCCCAATCATACACTACTGAGGCTTACCTAAAATGCTACAAATATAGCATTAATCCTCTCAATAGTAGTGAAATGTGGCCAGATGTTCCATACCATAAGCCTTTGCCTCCCAAAAGAAGAAGATTATCTGGTAGGCCATCTGTGAAAAGGAAGAGGGATGCAATTGAACGAGAGTTGAGTGGATCAATTAGACAAACTGTCTCAAGAAGGGGTAGCATAATAAAGTGTGGTATTTGTAAGGAACCAGGTCACAACAAGAAAAAGTGTCCATCTAACCAACAAAGCAATACATCAGGTGAATATTTTTAAAAAATTACATCATTTGAACAAAGAATTGACATTTTAATTTTTGTTTGCAGTACCAAGTTCATCCAGGGGCAGTGGAGCAGACCCAAGTTTATCCAGGGGCAATGAAGGACCACCACCTCCTCCACCACCACCTGCAGCCCAACAACCTCCTCCACCACCACCTGCAGCCCCCATGCCAAGAAGAAGGGTCCCAGTTAGTAGAAGTGGAAGGAGGAAATATTTGAACGGATTATCAAACAAGCATTAAGGAGGCAGATACCTGGGGTTGGGAGCAATGCAGATAACCCTTCAGTTATTGATTAATTTAGGGGATAATAGTGGGTGGGTAGGAATATCTTTTGTAAGGCAGTTGTGATGTAAAGACAAAGTAGTAGTCTTTTTATTATGCTTTTCTATGGTACTATCAAGTAGGTGTATGGGCACATGGTGGCCCTTCTTTTGTCTATGCAGGAATCTTTTGTGTTACCTAGAAACTACTTTTGTGTATGCAGACAAAAACTTATATAACTGTAGAATATTAATGGCGTATTACAATGAATCCAACCACCACATTCACTTACTTTTTTTATTATATGTATTTGTTATATGTATGCTACTTTGTGATTCCATTCCAGTCAAAACTAATTCTTTATATGCATGCTACTTTGTGATTCCATTCCAGTCAAAACTAATTCTTTATATGCATGCTACTTTGTGATTCTATTCCAGTCAAAATCAAATATGTATTCATTGTTATATGTATGCTTCCTTATGATTCCATTCCAGTCAAAAATTTTATCTTGGTGATTCCATTCCAGTCAAAGTTACTTCATTCCATTCTTTGTGATTCCATTCCAATCAAAGTTAATATGTATGCAGTTAATATGTATGCTTCGTTATAATTAAATTTTCCATTACAATCAATGTTACTTCATTCCATTCCAACAAGAAGTTAAGATAACAACTGTATTCTATTCAAACAACATCTTTCAATACATCATGTGACTTCATTTCATCATATACACGATGATCAGAAAAAGAAATCCAATGGTAAACTTATATATTTTCTCCTTCATTGCAATGGCATCAGAGTACTTTTCCTTCTTCATCTGTTCCATGTCTTCCTTCACCTTCTCTACTTCGGTCTTCAATGCTACTAATTCAGCTTTCATTCCCTCCACCACTTCCATCAGAGGCATCTGTACAAGTTCTACATCCAACCATTTCCAATATTTGCATTTACCCTTCCACAATAAAATTTCAAAGTGAGATTTCAAATCTGGAATAAATGAATCAGAAAAGAGGGGAAATTTAAGTGAAATTGCTTACCTCATTGCACACCATGAAATGCCTCCCTGGATTCTTTGGTGTTGTTGATGTTAGAATACGTGCAGGGAACTCACAATCACAAGTTTTTGGATCATTCACTATGGATTTCTTGCTTGATCGATTGAGGGAGGATGAGATGCTGTAGGAGGAAGCCATCGGGTATTAGGGCAACGGGGTATTAGAGCACAATAAATGAACAACAAATGCCCCTCCTTTAATAACAAGAACCCTAGATGCCAGTTAGGATCAAAACTGACACGTAGGATCAATAAATTCATTGAAACCGGCAAAAACCAGTCGGAAGGGGAAAATTTGCACAAATCAACAAGTTAAAGGGTTAATAGAGCACGAAAAAAAGTTCAGTGACCAAATGTGATCAAAATCAAAAGTATGTTACCCTCTGAAGTCATTATCCCTAGTTTATAAGCTAGCTTATAAGCTAGTTTGCCAAACGGGGCCTAAGTCTTTCAAGGGAAGAAGATTGGTTGGACCAATTGAAGACCGAGGGAAAAATCAAGATTTGCCATGAAAGATGGGATCTTGATTTTTGACATGATCTACCAACAAAAAGGAGTAGATTTCTGATACCGTTTCAGAAAAACCGTGTTGTGATCATTGGCATGATTTGTGAGGGATGAGATGAAGTGATTTGTGAGAGATGAGATGAAGATGCTTGTAATATTACATGTGATTATTGATGTATTGACATAAGCAAAGAATTTGGGGTGATAAAAATGTTATGTTTGTGATTGGTATGTACATAATGAGAGATGTTTGTAATCGATATGTGAATTAGGGTTTGATTGTTAGATTGAGTTTGTGTTTTGTAGTATTTTTGTAGAAAAAGTTGTAGATGAGTTTCTTCTTATCTTGTTTGTTTACTTGTGTTTGTATGTAAAGTACCATGAAGAAAACGAAAATCCATCGATTACAAAAATATAACCAAAACTCAAAGCATTTATTTTCGGAAGAATTTTGTATATACCGTTGTTAAATGTCAATTATCATATTTATCCAACAAAAAAAATTCAAATATCATATCTATCATTCATAAACATCAAAATATTATAATTTGCTTAAATCTTATTTTAAACTTTTTTTTTTTAATTTATAATCCTTTTAAATCTTTATATTTATCAATTTACTATTATATTCTTCATAAATTTCCAATTCAACTTCATACATCCATCTCAAAGAAAGTTGATTTATGTGATTTTTGAAACAAAAAAAAGGTGGTTCTTTGTTTGAGATCTCTGTGTATAATAATATCAACGTTTTCACTAGGGTTTTGGTATAAAGGGGAAAATTGCAAAGTGGGTTTACAATTCAAGTTGAATAAGATAAAACTTTGACAAGCGATAGATTTTAAGAATTGATTTGAGAAAAATTGCATTCACTCAACATTTAGTTCTTTACTTTTACAGAAGATTTAACAGTGTCAAAATTCAAAACTAGAGAGTTGCATACCATATTTTGATTAGACTAAGATGTTTCATGTTTCACACTTATATTGGGCACTTTTGGTTTTGTTCCAAAAATCATCTCAAGTCAAACTTTTTTTAATGAGATTTTCACAATGATATTGAGCACATTCATTGATTGATTAATCAATTAATGTTAGAGAATTTATGAAGGGTATAACAGTCCATTACTCAAACTAAATACATAATTTTTTATAAAATGTTCAAAAAATTAAACTATTTTAGGCAAAGATGATATTGAATTTATAAAAATAAATATATTATTTAAACTTTTGTTTGGTAAATATGATATTTTGATGTTAGAACATACACAAATTTCTTTAATGTTAATGACCATGAAAAAGAAAGTTATAAAGGATACAATATAATAACAAATTTTAAAAGTCCTTTTTTTCTCTAAATATACAATGCGGTAGAGATGAAGAAAATCACGCCAAAACCGGTTATGGGCTACAAGGTTACATACTAAACCGACGATTGAGAAAAATCGGCCCATGCTAATCCTTCAATAAACAGGTTGAGCCAGGCCCACAAACCCTACTTAAGCCTATTCTTTTGAGAAAACTAGTTATACATTATTTAATTTTAACTGTAGTCAAATAAATATTTAATTTATTTGATTATAAATTTTAAAAAAAATTATAAAGCACAACTTATATTTCTAAAAATACAATATTTGTCTTCGTCTTGATCTTCTTTAATTTTGGACTGAATATTTTTTATTCAACCTCTCAAAGACTTTGTAGCAGATAGAAAATTCTCAAAATTAGGGAAAAGTTTTTGTTGCAATTAGAGTTTACTTTTCATGCATGAGAAATTAATTATGGATGTAAGAAGCATTAGGGTAAAGTTCACATAGTTCACATAAAGCACTTAATGAGAAACACAAATTTTTTGATGTGTTTCAAAGGTATAATTTTTTTTTAGAGTAAATTACACAAATGGTCCCTATGGTTTGGGGTAATTTGTACGTTTGGTCCCTAACTTATTTTTTTTAACTCGGAAGGTCCCTACATTTTGTTTTTGTTGAGTGTTTGGTCCATGTCTTACTTAAAAAGACTATTTCGCTCTTGATTTTTTGGTTCCCACCTCACCTTAAGGTGGGGCATGTAAGGTAAGGTAAGGTGATGTGGAAATAGGGGTAGGGGTGTGTTTATTTAAATAAATTAAAAAATCAATGGAAAAATAGTCTTTTTTTTGTAGGACAGAAACTGACCGCGCAACAAAAACAAACTGTAAAGACCTTCCGAGTTAAAAAAATAAGTTAGAGACTAAAAATGCAAATTACCTCAAACCATAAGGACCATTTATCATTATCCCTCTTAATATGTCATTAATCCGTGGCAAATACTAATATACATAAATATATATATATATATATATATATATATATATATATATATATATATATATATATATATATATATATATATATATATATATATAAAAAAATTGGTCTTTTAAATGACACGGGGTGTGTAGTCGCAAACTGATAGATAGGGTCAAGACCTAGTTATAATACAAACTTTGGATATATATGGGCTGATGTTTGGTCTAGTCCTTCGTGTACATTTGTTTCCTATGTCCAAATCCACCAAAACCATTTTTTGGTAACTTTTAAATGATGAAAATTTCGGTTCAAAGTTAGTATTAAAGAGAGATTTTGCATTTTTTACGTTTAAATATTAATAATTAACCATTTTATGAAAAACATAAACTATGATCATGCAAAAACATGACAAAACGGCAAAATTAGTCCTTATGGTTTGCGAAAGATATGAATATGGTCCAAAAAAATTTCAACTTGCGTGGAAGATCCAAAATCAAGAAATTATTTTGGTCTTGGTCCTAAAAAATTAAAATGATTGATTTAACCTTTTAATTTCTTTTTTTTTTTTCCTTTTTTTATTGTAGTACTTAAAAGTTACAAACAAAAAATATTAGCCCTATCCCTCACCCCAACCGTGCTTCCCCATGTTCATCATCAAACACACAAACACAAACATGTGATATTTCCCCCCGTCACCTGTGATCTTCTTCCTTTCACCGGACATGTAATTTTTTTTACCATATAAACAAAAAACCCACCAAACTCCCTCTCAACCTCACTCAGTTGTAGGCTCACAAATAGTGGCAACATCAAGCTTTTATGTTCAAAAAGTATGCTCATCTTTGTAAGCGATTCAGGAATCTGACCATTAAATTTGTTACTTTGATTTCATTTTTCCACATCAAACTCATTCCAACAAACAAAATTTTATCAATCACCCCCGATTGTCCATGTCAATTGTCCCGGTTAACCCCATATTCTCAAGTTGGAACTCTAACACACTCAGATAGAAGATACCTTTTCATCTTATCTACCCCCAACCCCATCATTTCCATTTTCCTATCATTTGCTTAGATGCAATGTGTTTGAGTTTTGTAGATTCTAGATTTGGATCTAGATAATAGATTTCAGGTAGGGTGATTTAACGATGAGGAGAAAAGGAATCAAAGATCAGGTCACTGGCAGTGGAGAGCTATTCAGTGGGTCGTGAATCCACAGATGAAACACTCATAATAGCTAAAAAAAAGTAGAACTCATAATAGCCGAAGAATGAAAATTCCTTACTATGTGTGTTTAATTTCTTTGTATGTATGTAGAATTTTGTGAGTGTGTATTCTTGAGGAGATGAGTTTTGAAGGTACAAAGAGAATTGGAAGTCTTCTAATTATATACACGATTAAAGATAGACGGGGGTACTGGTGGAGAGGGTGGGGTGACATT